ACACGCACTTGGAGGGTTCTTAGGCTACTTATTTTGCAAATAAAACACATGTATTAAAAAAGAGGCTACTTATAGTGATTCACGTTATCTAAGAACAAAAATTAAATTAATGTTCAACTACTTTAGTAGACCCAATTAGAGTTAATTTATTAAAGAAAATAATATAAGTATCTCATATTCTACTGTTAAACGTTAAAAGCAATAACTTTAACTATTATATGTCATTCAATTAAAAAACCCGGGTAAACAGATGAAATCATTTAATAATGGATTTGGAAAAGGATAATATTGAATATAATTTAAATAACAAATTGAATTGTAAACAACTGTTACTATGGTAACGATTTAATGCACTATACGAACTTTCACTCCCATTTTCATCCCTTTATGAGTTTTTTCGGGATAAGCTTTAAGATACACACATGCAGACACGGTCTTATTTTTTTAGAATTTTTAAAGAGGATCTATTTCGTAATGCATGATTTTGCATCAAAAAACAAACAAAATCTTCAGCTTTATTATTATTATAGATAAGCAAATAACGTCAAAACCTGTAAATTATCGATTGAGGTTACGTCCTTTTTAATTAATTATTACTGAGTCGAGTTACAAACAAATATCTGTTACAGCGAGTGGTAAATCAAAAAGAATGTAAAGTGAAATCAAGCCAAACTTATTTTTACCCAAAATATCGATGTTGTTATCTCGCACGGCCTGCAATACCGTGTCACCGATATCTATATGAGGCTGCTGCAGCAAAAATTCGACCATTTTCTCGGATCTGTTTCGCACTGCTATGTGAAGTGCCGTCATGCCCTAGATACATAATGATATTAAGTATTACCAAAAATGGTATTTAACAATATTGCATTAAGGCTCGCGTTCAAACAAACTTGATAAATACACTTAACCTGAAAATTAATACAGTTAATATTCATTTCGGAATGTTCGTTCATATACTTTTTAAGTTCGTCGATGTTGTCATCAGCGACCAATTGGAAGAAATTGATTTCATTTGTGCTTAGTTTCGGTAAAAATATTTGATTCTGACCACTAGGGAAATCTTCATTTAACTGAAATCAAATGAAACTGTGTAAAATAAGTATGTAACTATGCCGATACAAAAATCATCCAACCGCGCGTTTGTTGTAATGACGAAATATTTAAGATAAAAATACTGCTAACTATTCATTCTTATGGTTAAAGGACTTTTGATTAAAGAGTAGTTCTGTGCTACGTTTGTTACATAAATTTATTATGAAAAAATAAATCTAATCGATTTCGATATAAAATATGTTAATTACAACTATAATGTAATATGATTTACCAAGTCTAAATGACAATATTCTACGTTATTTTTGGTCCTTGATTTATATGATGGACGGTTTATTTCGTCGTTGTGTTCATAATATGAAGTTATCTGAAAGTAAATAGTATTAAAGAATTACACTCGTGTCTCATAACGAAGAGTTAAAATAGGTACCTTTATTGCTTTATCAAATAGAGAAATATTTGGAGGATCAAAACCACAAACACACATATCACAAAATGCAAATAAACGATTGGAGGTTTAAGATTTAGTGTTATCGATTATGAACAGCGAAATAAGTATCGATTTTGATAGTTCTCAATTCTAGACTTTAGACAAAAACGTAATAACATCATTGATTTTTATGACTTGCGTAAGATAATCTCATTAGTCTTTTCTTGTGTGACTGTTATAGCTTTTCAATTTTTAGGATTCCGCAGCTCAAAATGAAGAGACGGAACCCTTAGGATCACTCGCTTGTCTGTCTCTCCGTCTGTTACAGCTGCTTTTTTCCTAAGATATTGACCGACAGAGGTGAAACTTGGTACACATATGAAAATCGGAAAGGTGGCTGTGCGCATTTGATGGTTAACAAAAATTATGTATATTGTTTGATAATAAACGATTGGGTTTATTGTGAAGATTGTAATATAGCAAATAGGGGAAATTAGTATTGCTATAATGCCTAAAATTTTGAAAATATGTAGAAAATAGTAACCTCATTTAAATACATTTTTAATGGTCTCCATAGCTACGCGATTTTTATGCCAGTTTTGAGGTGTCTTTATCTTAGGTCCTGGGTTCGATTTTTTCTATACAGTCTCGGTTTTAGATGTTGGAGTACCTTCGACTCGTTGTTTCATTATTCAATAACATATGCGCTCTAGCTTCTTGGGATTTGAGCTTTTTGATATTGCAATTTATTTTAAATAAAAATCACTAGTAGATAATAACCGTTTTTTCGTTATGTAGAAGGATCTTCCTTTCCTTAGGAGTGCTTGGCAAACTGACATTCTGAATGGAATCAGTTAAGTTGGACTTCGATGATCTCATTGTTTGGTCACGAGAAAACTTCTATAAATAAAGCAAATGCTAAATGTGGTATAAAGAGCCCACGTAATTGGGTGGGGTCTAATTTTCTGCCGTTCGTGAATGGTAAGGCATTTCTAAATCTGGTTGTTGTGGGTTGTAAAACAACACAATGGCATAGGTATAGGTAGTTTCCGTTGTGTCCCGTTTGATATTGTTTGGAAGTCTAAATTCGGAATTGTTGGTTCAAAAAATCATTTAAATAAAAGTTTCATTATACGTATTAATATTATTGATATGAATGGGCACCACCGAACAACCTTTTTTCTTGTTCTGTGATCGGCATTATGTATGTGATTATTAAATTATATTTTCAATACCACATTTTTAATACCTATAAAAATGCCTCGTAGAGTTGAAAATGTTTTTACATTTATGTGTCATGTTGTATATACATCAAAGCTGATCACGCTCCCACAATTTTCTTTAAATATTTTAATGCGAAGTTTTGATTATTTACCTGTCTATATAATCGAAGGTGCGAAAATAATGCATCGGTATAGTTTTAATTCAAATATAGTATGTATCTTTGAAAATAAGAAATAAGTAGCGTCAGATACTTCAGAGGCCCATCATAGAAATTGGCAGGTAGTATTCATAGACCCCGAAATCTGACTCATAAATAGTTATATGTAAGTGGAAGTAACTTGCTGCACTAGTTTGAAGAAATTAAATAACATTGTGCAAACATTTGTACTGATTATACCTTAATGATAAAGTCAATTGTAATTCGTTCACTTGGAACTATTATCTTTCAAAATGAAAAAGCGATCATTATAATTAAAACCACTTACATAATTATTAATAGAATCTCAGAAGAAACTGAAATGGTTTGATATATTTATCATTTTTATATCTTCTTCTTTTATTAATGGCTTATATGCGCATTTCGCACAATTCTATCTACAAATTTGCTAAATTATATCTATGAATTGACATTTATATGTTTTCTCTATGGTCGTAAAACGTAGTGTTCAAATTCTCTTTGCTATGATTTATTTTCATTTTGCTGATCTATGATTTAAGAATTTTCTCTTTGGAAAATATACTTAAGATACTTCATTTAAGGTGTAATTAAGGTATAAAATATACACTTATACAGGGTTAAATATGGGTTTGGATCTGATTATGGATTGATTTCGCTTATGGATTGATCAACAATACAGCTAGATGTCCGAACACATAACGTCTCATTCAATGTGCGGTCTCATTTTGATTTAGTTTGTTTGCGATGGCGCCAACGTTCAGATATATTACGATGTCACACCGCGAAAACTGCAAATACATATAACTATCGGAATAAAAATGTATGTGTTGGTATATCATATTTACGGATAAATGTAATTTTACAATGTCTATAATGAATAATCAAAGTATTTTCAATAAAATAACCTAGTTTTGTTTCTGACCAAAGCCACACGCCAAAATAGCAGTCATTTAAAAATGGAAGGCCAAATATTCGATATTCTAAGACAGCACATACATGGAGAGGTGTACAATTACATTTTTATAACCAAAAAACCATCTTGGTGTAGTGGTTCGTTTTCTCGATTACAAAGTGTGAACATTTAAGTTTGTATCCGTCTGGGCGTTTTATGTGTATTTTGAGTATCTATTTATAATAAAACTATTTAAAGCAAAAGATGTGTTCCCTGAAAGTGACTTAAATCGGTGATTGAATGTTAGTTAATAGTTTTAATAGAGATGAAGGTTGGAATATATCATCGACTTCGGATCCCATAATTAGTCAAATAAAATGTCAACCCAGATCACACACGACAAAACCTGTAACAGCTATTTCTTTCTGTAAAGTTTTAAATTATAATGTGTGCAAAGAAAATAGATTTAATAATTGTACTGTTATTTAAATTGAAAACCTCCTACCTCCCTAAAGTAAACGTATACAATTACACATATATTATACTAAGAAAAATAAAATTAGCAATGCGTCTCCATCCTTACCTTTGGTTGCCGCAGTGTATGGTATATGGTTTGGTGCTGTTTTTTAGTATTGATTTAGTATGGGAGGTGTAATTGTGTTGTATTGTTGATCGAAGGTATGGATGAATGGGAGTCGAGAAGTTTGTAAAAATATCACTCAGGGCTTCTTGTAGTGGTCGATCATTTCGAGTTGGCCATTGCAGACCGGTATGAAGAAGTTTAATATATTTAAAATTCTTGACTTTTACTAAATTACGTCATAGGCACATTCTGGGTCATGAGCGGCTAATTCGTAGCAAACGTCTGTACAGGGGTTTTAGGCATAGATCTGCAATGCATAATATATCGATTACAGTAGAGTAAAATGGCAGTTTCTTGATTATTTTATGGAGTAGGGTACTGGATGGTCTAGTCGACGCGTTTCAATTCCATTTATAGAGAAGCTGTTTGTCTCATCTGTGGGGGGCATTCAAAATAAACAATATCAAATTTTATTACATTTTAATTAGTGGTAATTTTTTTATTAATAATAATAGAGTATGAAGTTGTTTTATTAATTAATTTGCTCCAATTTAATAATTACAATTTTATCACTATTACTACCACTGAAACATAATGAATAACAAAAAATCTTCAAATATATATTAGACAAAGGATATTTCCCGGTATATTTGTGTGAAATTGATGCGATGCTTGTATTAAAAATTAATTTACTATTTTTTGTACATAGTGTACAATAATGTGAAATACGAATAAGACCTCGTCAGGATCTGTAAAAGAGAAAATTGAATAAAAGCATTTTGAAATAAATATTAATAAAGTATAGTCAACAGCACGTCAGAGTATACAAAAGGGTCAAATTTTATCACTCTATTTTAAGCCTCAATAGATTGAGTGTAGAGGTCCATTTCTATTGCAGAAATTTAACATATGATTGGAATCTGACGTGAAGACGTGATCTTATATAAATTTTTATATAGAAGCTTAAGCTTACAAAGTCCTCTGTCGCATCTCTCTGAACGCATGAACTTAAAAACTAACAATTTTCATGCAGTTCTCATTATTGGTAAAACTTCATGAAAAAAGTTGTTATTTATTAGAATTATGTTTTATCTATGAACCTAGTGACTCGGAACTTTTGCTCATCAGTTTATATAGAGTTTTTATATATATATGAAATCATCTATTCATGCAGTAGCAGGTTGTAAGAATATTAGTCATGATAAAAGATCTCACCGCAGAATAAGTGACGAGAGATATGTTAGTAAAACCCATTGCGGTAAACGCTAGAGGTTTCTGGGCTCTGAAACAGATATTAATTATGCTCTTATTAACTTTTATTATGTCGTTTCGTTTTACATCTTCACCAGCCCTTTTACGTCCCCACTGCAGGGGCTCAGGCCTTCCTTATGGATGGTTAAGGAGGATGGGCCATGACCCTCCACGCTGGCCCAATGCGGATTGGAGGGTATTAACGACTGCAAATGCAGCCGGGACCAACGGCTTAACGTGCCTTCCGAAGCACGGAGTAGCTCGAGATAATAATTTTTGGTCACCCATCCCATGACCGACCCTTGCGAAAGTTGCTTAACGATTACGATCGCGGGCCGCGGCGCTTATCCACTACGCCACCGAGCTACTCGTTCGTTTTACATAAATGTTTTTATTACGATTTTATCAATTACTTCCATTTCATACCTTTGTAAAAGGAATATTAATGCGCGACGGCAACGGGGACTGGTGCGATACCAACCACTATTGTAAGCTGCCGTTGACAATTGCACGCTCTGTGTAATCAGGAAGTTTATGTTCATTTACTTTTCTTTTCTGTTATCAGCAGTGCTATTTTGCAATTCAACGTTCAACTACACATCGACCATAGCGTCAAAACATTGAGGTTTAAAATCAAATAATATCTACCCGAAGATGGTTTATAAGGCTGACTTGTAATATTTCAAATGATATCTAAAATTTTAAAAGGTAATAATGGATTTATTTCAATTGAAGTTCTATGCTATGCGCTGTGATCAACGTCGATTTCGAGGCTGACTTTATTACAGAATGGCACAGCAGGATATTTTTGAAGTACTAATTATAGTAAAGTATTTTCTAATTGATTTCTGTAACGAATATGCATATAAATGTAGGAGTAACAGATTCATTTCTAAGTACTGAAGCTCGACATTCACTTGGATCCAAGTGAAAAACCCAGTTTTCCATATTTTCTCGATTCTTGAGCTTCTTAGAATCTCGAAGTAATTTAATCTAATATATTTGTTAATTTGAAGTTATTATACACTCGAAATAATTTTCTCATGAAATTTATTATAAAATTATATAAAATAGAATAACTTCATTTCTTTAAGAATTTATATATATTTATAATTTATTTACTACTCTTAATAATCGTTTAATCAGTTGACGTCGGTTTGAATAAAATAACTTACAAAAATAAGTTTATTTACCGCATGAAAGATTTCATCAGCATACCAACACAACGTTCCGATTTGAATGAGCGCGGAGCCTAGAAACAATTTGTTGCTAACATTCAGAAATGGTTCCAGTAGCTGAAATGGTTGTGATTACATTAGTATAAAGTATATCCAAAGAAATAAACATTTTCATAAAAAAAAATTTAAAACTAACGCAACTTGTATAATTAATATTTTTGTGATATTGATTTATTTGCACTTTAAATCAAAATAATGATACAACTCACTTAGTCATATAAATAAGTAAATATATTTATATATTGTTGGTATATCGAAAATAAAATTCTTCTTTCTGGATGTCGTGGTTTCATCAGCGCAGGTAGTTAGTTATCCGTATTAGTGATATTGAATAATATACTAATACAGATAATATAATATTAATTAATAAATTTTGGAACTACTGTATTTACTTATTTATCTTTTCTTGAGATAAATTACGTAGTTTTTACAGTTATTTTGTGGAATTATTATTTTTTGTTCTGGTTGTGCAATTTATTATTTATCATTCATCATCATCAGCCCTTTTACGTCCCCACTACAGGGGCTCAGGCCTTTCTTATGGATGGTTAAGGAGGATGGGCCATGACCCTCCACGCTGGCCCAATGCGGATTGGAGGGTATTAACGACTGCAAATGCAGCCGAGACCAACGGTTTAACGTGCCTTCCGAAGCACGGAGTAGCTCGAGGCGCTAATCCACTACGCCACCGAGCTACTCATTAATAAGCACAAATTGATAAAATATGTATTGTATTATTGTTTGTTGTCCTAAATAAATTTTAAAAAGAAATGGCAGTGGGCGGGAAGAACCGAAGGCTTTTGAGATGTATTGGTTATTATTTTATATTCATGAATGAATGAAGGACCGCGCACCGGAAAACACTCAGAGGGTAGGCCCCCCTTGCTAGGTGATCCGATGATCGCAATCTTGCGAGACTAGAGGTCCATAGGTAGCAGAGAGAATCGTAAGGCTGAAATAATGATGATGGTATTCAAAGAAAAACGAATATTGGTGAAAAATATTGTCTCTAACTTGTTTTGAGACTGAAAACGAAATTAATTTGTGAAAAATTAATGTGATATAATTATATGCATATGTTAGACGGTACTTTAATCGATATTTTTTAATGAAAAATGCTAAAAATCTATTACATCAATTTAAGAAAGAACGTATATAATCTTTTGATAATTTGCATCGGTCATGTCGCTTTAAACTAATATAAATTTATATGGACGTTTGGGTGTAAATGTGCGCAATGGATGTCTAGTTACAACGAAACTTTTAAAATTTTTGAAAACACTGTTTTATCCACAGATCAACGTCGCCCCTCAAAAGGTAACTCTTCGGTTACAGGTCGCGACGTCCACAAATATTCATTTACCTTTCCTTTGTTGATTATTATGATTATTTACATTACCTGTATTCGTACGAATTAAGGTGATAGCTGAAAATCTATCCTATTTCTCCAAAAACGAAATGTTGTCTATTTTTGAAAGGCTAATACAACTCCAAAGAAATGTATATTTTGATAATTATTATAATTGTTTTAATTATTATTACATTATAATTTATGCTACTATTGAGGTAAGACTTGATAATGCCTCTGATATATAGATAATATTCACGGATATGATTTTTACAATATTATAAGAATGATTGGAAATTTTCCGAATTTTCGTTCTAGCACTAATAGAATAGTCATTCAGGTATCATGTTAATTCGTACAAGGTATAAGTATACAATACACTTACCACAATGACGAATACGACACAGCAGATGTTGACAGAGCTAATTACCACATTTACTAGGTTCGATAGTGAAAATGCGCCTTCTAAATCATTAGAGTATCTAGAAAATTATAAACATTATGTACTACTACTAAATATTAAATTAATAAATGCATAGTGTTTCTCCGTGTATGTAATGCAAGTTTCACAAAATTCCTAATTTACTAGACCGTATTTTTTATGGTTTTTTGTTGTAGAATTTTGACAGTGAATATTTACCGCAATAGAGAATTAGATTAGATATACATATTTTATAACCTGATAAGTCTTTGGTGCAACTTGATAATAGCCTTGATTTCCTCAAACTGCTCTTGTTCTGTTTGGTCTGCTATCGCGAAAGATTCTAGTCGTCGTTGTAAAAGCCTCAATAATAAACCGATGTGGCTGGCCATGCCGGAGAACAGCAAGTCTGTGCTTACCATAATAAAAACGCTTGTTTGTCCTAAAATAAAGATGTCAGTTAAATTCTAGCTACGGAACAGAACGGAAAAACATTTCTCATTAATTCAGTGTAATACGGCTGGCGAACGTAATCATACTGTCTAGTTGTGTCAATTTTAACCAAAATTTGCTTATCGATTTAGTGACAAAATCGTTACACAAGTCTTCAATGGCATTTAATAAATAGATACAATTTGTTTTATAATAGATAGTAAACCTCCCTGTGGCGCAAGTAACAGTAATGAACATAAAATATAGAGTACGGTACTCGCACATGTTGCCGCTACTTTAGCAAGGAATAGAATAATGCTAAGCCCGGAGCGCAACAACATAGGAAGAAATTTTAATTGGTAATTTAAATATTATTAATAAATATTATTTGAATTATCAATTAAGCACAATATACTGAACACAAGCATTTGCATATTTAGAAATTTGAGGACTTACAATATTTCACTAATTCGAGTTTCTGTTCAGAAACATATGTAAGCTTACATAAATAACATGGTCTTATTATCTTTCGGAGGTGCTTATAAAGCACTAGGATAAAAAAAAGTGGACTAATCACTACTTAGCATGTTGTTAAGTCAACAGTTACATTGGGTGGTGATGATAGTAGTTTCAGTTAATTGCATATCATTTACTTTCACTGCATCTGTGCTAATAAAACAAACATTTGGATCAGTATGTTTAGTGCTAACAATGTAGACATTTTTAAAAGGTGCGTGTCTTTAACTACAATATAATTGGCGTGTAGGTATTATATTCAAATAATTTGGCGTTGCGTTAATTTAGTTTGGGTCCTCCGACAACATTAACCGTACGTATTCCGATCATAATTTATTATCACATCGTTAATCTTATTTAAAATTCAACTTTTTTGCGTCTAACTTACATTATGTAGTTTGCGTAGGTACATATTGTTGATATAAAATAAATAAATATTTAAAAACATTGACTGAAACTATTAAAAAATATAAACTTTTTAGTTTTACTTACCGGCAAACATCTCAAAAATATAAACAGCAACATGCGCATAAGTTTCATGTTTGTCGAAAGGGTACCAAGAAACCCATACGTAACCCATCTGTACGTCCATTCCTTGCCACCTCCGGTAGAAATAGATACCCATTGGCGTCAGGCTGTAGAACAAAACGCCTAAAATGTTTAAAGCGAAGTACCCTACAAACGAGAGTTAATGACATTTTTATTTTGACGATCTTGCAGACAAATTCGGTTACAAAGTCAGCAAAATCTAAAATAAATTTCATTATAGAGCTAAATGTATAGTATTCATAGCTTCAAAAATTTAAATTTAAGTGATAAATAAACGAATAGGAAATATTGTCATAGCGATGGTTTAATAAAATTGTTAGGAATAAAAAAATTGGATATAGTTAAGTTTTAGCGCTTTTGACATTTATGGCATATATCACTTCATTGACAAGATGGCAAAGAAACGTTTACATCTATGGGTCATACGTAACGCAGCTAGGCTTCTATTTTTAATAGCTTGAGATTCTTCATCTAATGGGGGCACAGGCCATATACCTGCCAGCTCGTAAATAAGTTGTTTGAACACGTCTTTTTTGTACCACAAGACGAACAATTTAGCGATACCTGAAAAAAATGTTTAAGTAATATTGGTTGGTACAACTTCATGATCGAAACTAAATATTCTTTTAAAATTTCAAATCCAAACTTACTAAGGGCACCGTAGCCAAAAGTATGAAAAAGTGGAACAACGTCTTCCACACGAGGCTCTTTGGCTAAAGTTAATCCAATAAATGCAATCTCGCTAAACACGTGATAGCAAATGGCCCACGTAGACAAGACGAACACAAACTTCTGACGCAACTTAGCCAAACTACTTTTAGGGCATTCAAAAGAAATTCCAATGCGTTTCATACAAAAAGTGTTGAGAATCAGTGACTCTGCTATTTCTCTTTTTGCTTCATAGAGTGTTTCATCCGACATTTTTGACCTTAATTTCCGCAGAACTAATGCAAGTAGGTTAAAACAAGAATGTTTTGACTCTTCTAAACAATATGAGGTTTTACTTTTAAATAAAATACCTAATAATAACAATACCTTCACTTGTTTATGCTTTTATGGTCAGAATTATAATGGTAAATGAATAGTTTGTGACGCGAGATGCGTGTGTGAATCGTATTAAATAGACATAAGTATATTTAATAATTTTGTAGTGATAATAAGCAGTTAGAAGTAAAACTTTAGTTTTCCAAATAATATGAATTTTGTGTAGATTAAAATTAAATCTAAGTTATGATAAGTAGGGGTCAAAACGCAAAAGTTTTGAACTAACAAGGTTCTACATGAATATTAAAACTATCTATTTGTCATAATACTCATTTGTCAGTATTGCTATGAATTATTGTTATTTATTGATTTTATTTCAAATTCAGTTTATCTGTACTAATAGGTATTATAAAGAGGAAAGCTTAGAATGTTTCTTACTTTACATTGACTAGGTTCTGAAGTTATTGGACTGATTATAAAAAATTTTTCATCTAAGGCAAGCTACAGCATACGCGGGAGACATTGCCTATACTTTACGCGGGCGAAAACGCAGGAAACAGCTAGTTCACTAATATAATGAAAAAATTATCACCGTAATAGAGGGTGACGAAAAATACCACTGATCCACGTAACACAATGGAATCCCAGAACCGCTTTTAATTATTGTGATAATGCAACGAATTGTGTTGTCTAAGAGTTTTTTTTCATCTTCCCGCAAGTGTTGTGTGAAACAATTATTAATTCATTACATACAAAGCAACGGGTAGCTTAGAGCTTAAGCTTCTTACACACTATGGAGAATATATTTTATTAACATGTACCGTAGTGCGATCTGTGCGATCAGTCTCATAGGTTTCATAGCGTGTCTCGATTGAATCGATAAATGTTCCACATTGTTGCGGTACAGTTGCGTCGTTACAAACACGCAAAGTGCTTAATTAATGCGTAATAGCTGAGAATAAAGGATTTTATTATCGTAATAAGATCAATGTTGTCAATAATTCTGGATATTGATGTCATTAAGAAGGCATAATACACCAAGCACGATTTTTCAAACGGTTTGTAAAGAAATTACGTCCAAATAAGCTGTAATTTAAAAATATATTTTTTACAGTGAAAGCATAAAAAAAATCTGTAGTAAAAGTCATAAAGTTACTCCTAAAATTCACAATTTTTCTAGTCCTTTTCGTAACTTTTCTCTTCGTTTATAGAGAAAATTGAGATAAATATATATGTGAGTCAGTAGATGAAAGCTTTATTGAGGGCTTTTATCATAATAATAATAATAATTTGCGATTGAAATACGTCATCCACCCTCGGTCTTTATCTATCTCATTGACTATATTGTCAAATTTTAAAGATCATTATACAAATAAACTTCATAAAAGTCTGATAGTTGTAGTACACTCGGTATTAAAGAAAACCCAATATGCGAAAGTTTTGGGTAGGTCATATTAATATTAACCGCCCGATTTTAATAGAAGTTTCTTGAATATATTAAATATGTATGTTCTATATAGAAAGAAAGAAATAAAGAAAAGTCTTTTATTGTCGAGACCACATTACATACACAACAACATTAAATATGGTTGAATATAAAATAGATTTAAAAACGGAATAAGTATATATAAGTATAATATATTACGAGTATTTTTAACTATTCTTTGGACTCAATTTTTTTTAATACTTTTACTTTCCGCTCAGCGTTTATGCTGGTATCGTACTATGTAAATAATACCATCATCATCACCATCAGCCCTTTTTAAGTCTTCGCTACGGTGGCTGAGGCTTCCTTAGGGATGGTTAAGGATGACGGCCAAGACACAGGCCCAATGCGTATTGAAGGGTGTTAACGATTGCAAATACAGTAGGGACCAATGGCTTAACGTACCTTCCGAAGCAGCTCGAGTAGCTCGAGATAATACCTTTTTTGGTCACCCATCTCATGATCGATCTTTGCGAAAGTTGCTAAAATTGGTTAAGAACAACGATCACGATCCACCACTCATTCTAAATTAATAACATCATATTTAAATGAAAAATGCTTAAAAAGTCTACTTTATCTCTGGAGACGGGATGCCAGGGACAAAGTGGATTTTTAAGCATTTTCCATTATGAATAACTAGTGGACGCCCGCGACTTCGTCCGCGTGGAAGTCGGTATCCCGTGGGAGTGAGAAGTTTTCCCAGTAAAAAGTACCCTATGTGTTATTCTGATGTATAACCTATATTGCTGTAAAGTTTTATCCAAATCCGTCCAGTAGTTTTTTCGTGAAAGAGTAACAAACATCCATACATCCATACTTACAAACTTTCGCCTTTATAATATTAATAGGATTTTCAGTATAGTATTGTGATTGCAAAATTGATTAAATAATATCATTGCAAAATGAATTATCGATTCAAATTCATTTTTATTCAAATATATATTTCGGTGTTTTCTTTTCCCTATCTGTCTCATTGATAAGCCTTGAAATTTTCTCATCATGTTTATACAAACTCTCAACGTCTCAAATTCAGCCACAGCTAAATGTGGTTAGAGTTTAATAATAAAATTCTAAAGAAATAATAGTGGAAACTGCATTAACTTTGGCTGATTTTTTATAATATTTCTTGGGTAACTTTATTTTCTTTTACGAACTGTTTTACGTTTCTACTATTAAGTAGGAGTAATCGCTCAATAAAGATAGAGACACGGAACATTTTATTGAACATACAAACAAGCGGCGCACAGATGATAACGAGTGACAGTATCGATATAAGTGTGCTTACTCCGCTTGCCTTGACCTTCATTGTAAGTATGCCTAACTGCATTCTATTTGGGACAAAATTGACCATAGCGTATGCGAAACACCAATTATAAATTTCACACTTCATTGACATGACTTGTTTGTGCCACGATCGACATCTCATTTTGTATATATAAAACAACGTGGAAACTAATTAATAAATTAATGAAAGAAACAGTTATTTGAACATGACACTATTTTTTATTTGGGATTGTAATGCGATTAGTTTGAGCTTTATATTCGGGAAAAACATATAATATATAATACATTGAAAGAAAAACTTAATATCTAATTAATTTAAGATTATTTAGATATTGATGCAGTCGTGACCTTAATATTGAGGCATATTTTCTTAAAAAATAAAAATTTAGAAAGTCCGATCTCATTGAATTTTAATGAAACTTGTAAATGTGCGACATGTTAATAATGTTTTAATTTTGTCTACTTACTATTATAGAGATTTTCAATTAAAATAATATCATCTTAGGGGAATATTCGTTACTATATCGTATATGTAACTTGATAAACATAGCTACATTGTTTATGTAAATATAGTTTGTAAAATTTGACCTTTGACATTTAACGAATTCAGTTTTGTATAATTATAAATCAGAACCGCAGTGATTTCTCGAACTCATTGTCACTGCATCGTCGTCATTTGTTATTAGAGAGTGAAAGATCTGCGGTGAATATAGTTGTTTTGTGTAATTGACTTTTTGGAGTTATGGGCGGGCATCGGCACGAATTAAACTGATTTGAGATTTTCCCGCTAGAGATGGCAGTGTTTCGGCAAATTTAGCACGCGACCAAGGTCCGTGGCGACGGCGGCTGAGTGCTTTACAGTTCGCAACCGTTACGCGCCGGAGTTGTGTTAAAGAAGAGTAGGCGCACGAGCCGAACTGCGTAGGTATCGTAGGGTCTCTATTGCAGTGCATTCCATCGTAATGCTTTTATATTCATTATATGTCACATGAAATGCAGTTATTACATATAATAAATACAGATTTTATTAGATATTCTAGTAGGGTTGTTTAATAAAACACTACGTGTTGATTATGTTACTTTTTAGTCGAGAACTAATATTATTCTATTTCGAATGCCATATCAAAATAACTTTGTTTATGGTAAACGGTGTATTTTCGTAATTTAAATGTAACTATTCTGTTAATATGTATATTTAAAATTGGAGATAGCTAAGAAATATGATATAAATTATGGAACTTTATGATGCCTTTCATATTATTAGATCTAGTGTTGCCCAAATTCAGTCTTGGTCTTGGTCTTGCATTTTTGCAAGACCAAGACCAAGAACAAGACCGCGTATTTTTAGCAAGACCAAGATCAAGACTGACCATGCAAGACTTGAGCAAGAACAAGACTAATCCCGCAAGACTCTTGCGTCTTGCAGCTAGGACTTAGCGCTATTTCACGGAGTAGTTAGGAATAACAGTTCGGTGTAAAATAACACTTCAGGCTTAAAGAAACATCTAATATCTTTCCACAAAAAGGAATCCTATTAATATTATAAAGGCGAAAGTTTGTAAGTATGGATGTATGGATGTTTGTTACTCTTTCACGAAAAAACTACTGGACGGATTTGGATAAAACTTTACAGCAATATAGGTTATACATCAGAATAACACATAGGGTACTTTTTACTGGGAAAACTTCTCACTCCCACGGGATACCGACTTCCACGCGGACGAAGTCGCGGGCGTCCACTAGTCACAAATATTTCTTCCTGTTAAACCAAAATTAAGCGGAGATATCGCAAGCTTTTTCGTAACTGCTGGAAGAAGTGGACAGGTAAGAAGAAATAATTATGTAATTATCGTGTTAAATATTTTTTATAAAGCACCCATATTTTCATTTGTTTTCATAATCGGCCTGTAACAACTAAGTACTTTATTTTGGTAAATTACAGTACAACTTTAGATTTAACAACAACAAATCTCCTCCTCCTAAACGCTCAAACCTAGTATGTTTTAAATAATAACACAAGATTTATTGTTTTATTTAAGTCGCAAAACAGTAGTGACAAGGTCCCCACTTAGAAGGAAAGTCAAAGAGCGATTTGAAGAGCTCCAATTGAATCTCAAGGAACGACTTCAACAATTATCATCTAAAATGTCGTTTACCATTGATGGGT